CGGAATTGCTGCCTGCAGCACCGGTCCCACCGCAGCCACCGCCTCTCCAGCGCTCGCAGGATGAGAGCGGCACTGGGGACCCCTGCCGTACCCCCGTCCCTTTCCTGACGTCCACCCACGCCGGCTGCCTCTGTGGCACTTGCGCCACGCCGAATGGCTCTGCTCTCCCGCCCCGCGCCAGCCAGGGAGGGCCTGGCCAAAGCGCTCGGCCCCTAGGGAGCAGGGGGGCAGCCCCCAGCCCTGCAGAGCTGAGCTGAGACCTTGCAGACTCGCTGCACCCTGGGCTGGGGAAGGGGGCAGGGTGCCTTTCTCCCAACGCGCCCCGGGCATCGCCTCCCCGGGACGCACCTCTGACCCCCTCATGGGTCCTCTCCCTGCAGCCCTGGGCCACTGCCGTGCCCCAGCACCATGGCCACCAGTGAGCTGACCGAGCTGGAGACGGCCATCGAGAAGATCGTCACCATCTTCTTCGCCTACGCGGGGAAGGAGGGCAAGAAGGGCACGCTGACGGCCGGCGAGTTCAAGGAGCTGGTCCAGCTCCAGCTGCCCAGCCTGATGAAGGTGAGGCGAAGGGCAGCATGTGTGGGGTGGCTGGAGCCCCGTGGGTCCCCCCAAGCTGGGGGGCTGCTCCCGGTACCCTGGGATTTGCAACCAAGAGCGAGCAGCAGCCCCTGCTCCCCTCCACCCCTGTCCCGCTCACTGGGGACCGGGATGCGGCCGAGCCTCCCCTGTCCTCCCTGCAGGACACCCCCTCCCTGGAGGAGAAAATGAGCGAGCTGGATGTGAACAGCGACCAGGAGCTGAAATTCGGCGAGTACTGGCAGCTGATCGGGGAGCTGGCGAAGGCCGTGCGGAGGGAGAAAGCGGGGAAGAAGTGATGGGGCTGGTGGGGAGACTCGGCTGACGCGCAGCTAATAAAAGAGGTTTCCCTGAGCGTGAGCATCGCCGCTGTTCTTAGCGGGGGGCTCCCGATTTGGGCAGCCCATCTCCTTCCCTGCCTGCCCATGGCCACGCTGTGCCCAGGGACTGGCCCAGCACCACGACTGGTGGGTCGGGGCTCACTCTGCGTTGGGGTGGCTGCTGCAGGGAACCTGTGATGGATGGGGCCGTTCCCAAATTGCCCTTGCGCTGGTCTGGCTTGCGGGGTGCCATCCCGCGCCCCACAAACGCCTTCCTCCCAGGCTGCGAGCTTGCTTAGTGCAACCCCGATGGGTGGCAGAGATG